CGGCGAATGGCCTGCCGCCTCGCTGGGCCTGGTGGACTAACACATCCCTATTGGGTTGCTCTGAGGGCGCGCGCTGGCTGGCGCTGAGCTCGTGTCGTCGGGACAGCGAGCTCTCAGCCTGCTGTGCCACCACACGCTCGAGTAGCATGCGAATCTTTTGATGGGCCCATCATTCCTCCAGCGTCGCGAGCCCTAGAAGCCCCTGGAGTAAGGCCGCCGTGGCAGCGATGTTCTGGCTTGCCGGGGTGAAGTGTGGGAGGGCTTCGTCGTCCTCGCTGATCCTCTGATTCATGTCGTGGGCTGTGGCGCGCGCGCCCACCGTCTTCGTGGCGCTCAATCTCTCGCTCGAGCTCCGCGTGTTCCTGCTTCTGCTGGAGTCATGCTTCTTCGAGCTCTTGGTGCCGTGCCCTCAGCTGCTCTACCCGTCGGCGAGGTGGGGCCCCTGTGTCCCCCTCGACCTCGTCGTCGAGGTTGTCTATTGGGGTAGCCCCTCTCTCGTGGATGCTTTCGATGTATCCCTCGGGGGTACCTACCATAAAACATTCTGCGATGGGTGATGGCTCCCCTGCTGGACTCAGAGTCAGTGGGTAACTCCGATTCCCTCGTGAGAAGGTCATGGAAAGATTCCACGACATATTCGGTCATCCCCATGAACTCATCGTTCATAAAGGATGGGGTCGTGTGCTGCACCACAAGGTGGCCGACGGTCTCTGCGGCATGGCGTAGACCGAATGGGAGCGCTATCAGGGCGCTCCGGATGAGGTATTCTGGGGAGAGCGGATCTCCTCCAGCAAACTGCATCATGACATTGGCGAACGAGAAGGTGAGGCGGCGCATGTCCTCTCAGGACGGTAGGGGTCCTAGGAAGGCGCTGAGCTGGTGCTCTAGCCTCCCGTAGTTGAAGCCGAGGAGCTGGTTGCCCCTGGAGGCGTGGGCCTCTGGTGCGTGTAGCTGTAGCTCCTCAAGCGCCTTGGAGATCGCGTTGAGGCCGGCAGAGTGGAGAGGTTGGACGGCGGCGGGAACATGCGCCAACTCTCCCTCCGTCGTAATGGTGAAGTCTAGGTTTCCGAAGCGCACATGCGCGCCCGGGACCCAACTGACACCGTGACTAGCCATCCGAGGCCTGATGTGGGCGTTGAGACGCGCAAAAAGCCCCTACCTGGCGTACCAACTGTCGGTGTTTTTAGACCACCGGCGAGTAAATTTGTATTTGCGCGTCTGGCTCGGATGGTGTGCTCGGAAGATACAAGGGTTTATATTGGTTCGAGCGGAACGTCCCTATGTCTAGTTCGCTGGTGCTCGTGTTACTGACACTTGGTTTGCAGTAGGGGTTACAAACAGACGTGAGAGGGAAAGGATCCCAAGTCTCTGGTGGAAGGAGTGAACGGGTGTTGAGAGCTCGATTGCCGCTCAGCCGTGTGCTCGTGTCATGCTCTTGTGTTTTAATTTGGTGTTTCGCTCTCCATCCCCTAGCGTGGGGCGTCCTGCTTCCCCTTTTATAGGCAAAGAGAAAGCGCGGGTTACAGAGGAGGAAAAGGAGAAGAACGAGAGAGAGAAGAAGGCTTCTAGGGTCGTCGGGTCCTTCTTCTCCTTCTTGCGGGTCCTGCTGATCCTGTAGATGTCAACAGGGATGGCTCCATGTCGCGGCGCTGGTCATCACTGGCGCCATGCGCATGCGTCATCTACTGGTCATGGTGTTCCACTCTGTCCCGATGGATGTTGTGGTGAATTGACGCGCCTGTCAGCGTCCGTACAAGGATTAGGCAGAACAACACCGGCACGTCCGATACTGTTCTTGATATGAATCCTCAGGTATGGCCCGTCATGGCCACAGGTTATATCGAGGCGAGCCAGCCTCTTCCCTAGCGTTAGAGTTTTGACCCAGGGCCATACGCTTGGACCTAGAGTGGTTGGCGGTTGTATGGGTCCTCGAGGTCGGGCGAGACGGAGCCCGCGACCTTGGGCGAGACGGAGCCCGCGTCCTCGAGGTCGGGCGAGACAGAAACCACGTCCTTGGGGTCGGGCGAGACCTTTTAATATGTCTCGAGCCATTCGGGGAAGTCAGCGTGGGTGCTAACTTCCTTGCTTTGGGTATCCCTAATATCGATACCCGATAGATTTAATCTAGGCAAAAATCATCAAAATTTGCTTCTAAAAATAATAAAACAAAAAGTCTGTGTTTACTGTTCATTTGGCCCGGCCTGGTGAAACAATCGCGGCCCATTGATGAAATCGCGCCCCGTAGCGCCTTGCTTTCGCCCGGTACAGCACCGCACCGCTTTCGCTGGCCCAACAAGCGAAATCAGCCCACACCGGCTGGCTCGCCAAGGCGCGCTCCCGTGTCCTAGGCCGCAACCTGGGCCTGGGCCGAGATTTCTGAATCCCGCCTGGTCGAAACTAGGTCCAGCGAATCGCAGCCGTTCGTAGTCATCCGACGACCATCCAAGCTCTTCGGCGGAATAAAAAGCCTCACACCCGGCCGAGCACCCTAACCCTAATTTCATTCTCTCCTATGCTCTCTCTCTTCGCCGCAACGCTCAGCGCAGCAACTCTGATAGCCGCCCGCAGCGCCACTAGAGAAGAGGAGTGCGGAGCGGCACCGCCGCCGACCCCCTCGCTGGCGTGCGCGCTCGCCTTAGGCTGAGCGTGTCGCCGGCGAGCGGTTTGGGCGACGGTGCCCTAAACCACCACACGTGTTGCGGCGGGCACGCCCTAAACCCTAGATCTGTCCGCCGCCGCCGCGGGTCCCCTCACCGGAGCGTGCGCTCCCCAGTGCGTGAGCGCGCCGCCATCGAGCAGTGCTGTGACGGTGCCCTCGGCCGGGGCTTGTGCTCACGGCGACGAGCTTGGCTCGGCTTCTCCACACGTGCTGACGAGGCGGCGGCGGAGCTCCTTCCCACGCGATGGCGGTGGTGACGGCGGCGAGAAAATAAACCGGGTAGGTCTCTCCCCCTTCCGTCCATTCGTTCTAGGGTTAGGGTTAGGGGTTTGGGGTTCAATCCGATTGATAGATCGAGTCCCCTCCTACAATCTTCTACTCGGTTTTCTACCCCGATAATCTAGATCTACGCCTAGTTAGGTGACTGATGCCATTGATAGATACATAACAGGATCCACTAGCCATAGATCTAGCATATACACTGATATTTGGGATGAAATAGTAAACCCTAGAACTTGGCCTAGTGCGAGGAAATAGAGAGAGAGTGGGATGCGGGTGGCAAACCATCGGCCGCCTTCGCAGAAGATGAGCTGGCCATCGCGGTGCTCGGTGGAGACTCGGTGGAGGCGCCGACGGTGAAAGGTGGCGGTGCAGTGGCGGTGTTGTCCGGTGGCGGTGCTTCCCGTTGCTGGTAACGCCCCCTCACTTAGATCGGCTTAGGGTTAGAGTGTAGGTGGGGTGTCTGGCGACGCAGGTGATTCTCGTGACTTATGCCCTGGCCCCCCACCTCCCTTTTTATGTCGCTGTGCGACGGAAGCCCATCAACCATGAAACGGTTGGACGCCCTCGATCAGGACGCGGATCCAAGAGCCCAGGCCCATTGATGGAGATCAATCCAACAGTTTTAGCTTTTTCTTTCCGCGCCGTTTCTCGCTGACGCCTGCTGTGTACCAAAGGGTAAAAGCGAAAGCCTCCATGTTCCTAGTCAAATCCTACGCACTATCAGTAGTAGTACGAAACATCGTCACTATACCATTGCGGTTAAGCGTTCTTGATGGTATTTTGCTTGCTTATTACATTTCGACCAACTTCGAAAACATTTTTCAGGGTTGATGTTCTTATGCCTACATTGCAGTTAAGCGTTCTTGATGGTATTTTGCTTGCTTATTACATGTCGACCAACTTCGAAGACATTCTCTGGGTTGATGTTCTTATGCTGAAGCAGCGGCCAACCGAATAACTAGTGCGGAGTGTTAAGCTATCCCGTCGTTTTGAACAAACAGCAGTCATAAATGGCACATGCCACACACACTGAAACTTGCACAGCACCAGCCTTAAAAAAACAGTTGGAGGTAGGAGTAGGAGTATCGACCAAGAACAACACTAATTAGCTGGTTCTCAAGCAGGACTTGCAGAAGATCCATAGGCTCGGTGGGAGTTTCACTGGAGTTTCATTTGAATTTAATAGCCTGCTACATATGTATGTACTTTTGAATACATGGCAATGTTTTAATAAAGAGAGAGAAGAATTAGGTTTCATGGGAATAAAACTCTCCTGGCACAATTATCAACTCTTTATGAGTCGTAGAATTAAATGTCTATGAAACTATTGAATAAAACTAACTCTCTATGAGTCATAGAATTAAATATTTATGAAACTCTAGAATAAAACTTTCCATTAAAAGTGTGAATTTTAACCAAGTTTTATTTCATTCTATATGACATGACAGTTTTAAAAATAACAAAATAAAATTCTTCACTGAAACTAGCTTAAAACACTCCACTGAAACTGGCTTAAAGAAAAGAAAGCAGGATCGACGATGATACAGGAGGATGATACAGGAGCTAGTCATGGACACAAGGGTCCATTCAGATGTCTATTTCTTCTGTAGCAATATGTTTTCAACTTTTCATCATCAGCATTAGGCAAAACCTTAAGCCTAACACCATCAACAACTACTGCTACTACGTACTAGCACATAGAGATTTTTTTTCACAAAAATCCCCTAAAACGAAGACCAGAAACACCCATACATGATACAACGAACGACACAGCAGCGCAAGGAGCTGCATGCATGCAGTCTAGACACCAGCGCGCTCTCCTCTCCTCCCGTCTCTATACACCATCAGCGATACAGGTAGGCAGGCGGGCAGGCACTGACTGACACTGAGTAGGTCACGGCGCCACCAATGGCGCAAGGGGTTTAAACAAAAAAAACACAAACCCATATACGTAACTGTAGCGGTAGTTCCTGGTGGTACGAGGGCGATCTGATCTCTTGGTTTTGGGGAGGGGGAGCACAAACGCGAGCTCGTTTGTGAGCTTTTTCTTCACGGTGTGTTAGCCGGCAAGGATTGACCCGGCCCGGGCCTTGGGAGGCCTCGGCGGGGACTCCACGTCCTTGGGGGATGCAGCTCTCGGCGCCAGCTTCTTTGGGGTGCTCTCCTTCCGCTCCGTCTCCTCGTCCATTTCGATCTGCTCCCTCCTGCACTCCTCGGTACAGAACGGGATGTCACCTCTGCACAAGAGACATAAGGTCACCCATAAAGATTAGCAGGCCTGGGGATGCCATTTAATGCTTTTTCCCCCAAACCAACCAAGTAGTAAATAATCGTACGATATGGCCTTCTGAACAGGCTGAAGATTAGCAGGCCTGGGGATGCCATGAAAACCCCAAGTAGTATCGTACAAGAATAGACGTCTTTGGATGCATGCACCACCTTTTTTTAAAGAGAAAAAAATGTGCACCACTTGTACTCGTGCAACACAACCATTAGACCAGTGTCATGGCTGAAATTTAGAAAGGGACACCACTCATGGAACTGAACACCACTAACTTCAATCTGCCCACAAATTCATGGACCTGACGATACCCAACGCGTCATTGACAAATAATACTACTGTATTTTACTTCTGCCTTACCGCCTCACAGGTAACAAACCGATAAAGCTCCCGTGCTTAGCAGAGAAGCTTTTTTCCGATTACCAACTCTCCATATATAAAGAACAAACGACAGAGTGTACTCCGTTGTAAATTGGCAGGAACTCACGGCATGGTCATAAATAAGCGCGCCAATTTAGGGTCCCAAGAATTTAATTGATTCACGCGCAAAAGCAACCTGAACGAACACATCAAGGATGACAAAAACTTCGCACCAACACCACCTCGGAAAAAGGAAAAAGAGCTCTCACCAAATTTTTCATGCTACTAGTACTTTTTTTAAATTAATCTGGGCTGGACGTTCGAACTAGTGAAGCGCAGAAGAAAAGGAAAATTCTGGGAAAATAATATTTACGTCCGACGATTCGGCAGTCAAATTTCCTGTTCTTCCAAGGAAAAATACACCTTCCAAAGACGTCGGAAACGTCCATACCACGGGACCCGCTGCAGCCCCCAAGCCAAGCAAAACGAGCGGCATCAAGGCCAGGTAGCGGTAGCCATGGCGGTGGCAGAGTGGCGAACCTGTACATGAAGATGTCGCGGTTGCTGGCGAGGGGCTTCCGGCAGAGGAAGCAGGCCTCCAAAAAGTGGCCCTGCGGCAGCCCTCCCGCTCTCGCCCCCGCGCGTCCTCCTCCTCCCGACGCGGCCACCAGCTCGTCCTCCACGCCGGAGCTGACGAGCCGGGTCCACGCCGCCGCCGACGCGCCGCCCCCGCCGAGAGCGAACGGGCTGTCCCGACCGCCCCCGCCCCCGCCCCCGGCCCCGCTCCCGCTCCCGCTCCCGCTCCGGCCCCCTCCTCCTCCGCCCCCGGTCCTACCCGCGCCGCCGAGTCCCAAGTCCATCGGCGGCGGTGAAGAGGAGCCCGCCCCTGGATCCGCCTCCCCGCCCCGGGGGCACGGCTCGTCGGTGCGATCGGGCTCGGCCCGGTTCGGTGGCTCGCGTGTTCGTGTCCGCGCGGCGGTGCGAGGGGGAGGGAGAGATGGACGGTGTGTTGTTGTATCGGGTGTGTTTAAAGGGGAGACAGGAGGTGGAGGTGGAGGTGGTTTTATGAAGTGAGCGTAGGGAGAGGCCAGAGGGTGGGTGGTGGGTCCACCGCGGGCCGGACGCGGGGCCCGCATGGCGGTGTTGGTTAGTGGGATCCGTTGCCACGTGGGGACCACCTAGGCACGGCTCGACTCCAAGGGTTGCTTTGCTCGACGAGAAGAGGAAGCCTCTGCTTTCCGGGGTTTTTCTTTTTCTGTTTTTCTCGAGCGTTCTTTTTCGCCTGGGGATTGGGCCCGGCCGCTCGGGCGCGTGGGTTTTGTTAGGCCAGCTGCCGTTTCGAACGCTCGTGTGAAACTTCTCTTGAACTGTTCAGTGGGGACAACTGGAATCAGGGCCAACTTGACAGTGTGATTCTGTGTCTTTACATTTTGCGGGTTTGTTGCGCGTTGCACGTGAGGACTTCCGTTCGGGTCTCTCTAGTAGCTTCTGTACCTGCTGCAACGCGGAGGTGCGGGTGCCCTCGGCACCGGGCATCAGTGCAATCACATTGCAGTGCCTAACCATGTAGTTGAGATGCCAATTTTACCCTCTGGTACTCATGAATTTCGTATCCGATGAGTGTGGGTACGGACATAAAAATTTATCCAGGAGTACATAAGAGTCGGGTATCTGTAAATATACAGGAAGAGTGTGGGTACCTGTAATTTGTAATTTATAGTGTATACGTAGCATGTCGAACTATAAAGATGAAATTTTTTATTAATGGTTGAATAAAGTGATTGTGTAAGCTAGTATGAACTTGTTACTTTAGTTCCTGTGGAAGTTGTTTTGTGTTATCTATACGAGCATAAATGATCGAATTATGAATCTACGATGTATTGTGGTCCGTGTATATTATCCTAGTGAACTATATGTAAGTGAGATTCGACATATTTGCGTGTTGCTGTTTAACTATAATTTTTTGTATTGATCTCTCTTTAATATACTTGATGGGTACGAAATTTTACCAGCAGATATGCTCGCGGGCGGGTAAAACTTAGGTTGCGGATATACTTGGGGGCAAGTAAATGCTTTACTCGAACCTTATCGGACCCGTTGCCATCCCTACCGTAGTACTTTGTATTTGGTTGATAAAACAACAAGGGACAAGACAGGTCATCACTACTACCGGAAACTTAATTGAGGCGGGCAAAAAGCATTAACCGAGGCGGTTTTTGCAACCGCCTCGGGCGAAAGGTCACGGTTAATCGTGGCCTTAACCGAGGTGGTTGCCCTGTCCGCCTCGGTTAATCGAATAAAAAAACAAAAAAAAGGAAAACCTGTGGATAAGCCCGGAGAGCCCATCCACGGGCCCGCCGAGCCCATCCACGCGCCACCGCTCCGCTCGCCAGATTCGGCCACCCGCTCGCCGGATCCGTCCACCTGCTCGCGGGATCCGTACTCCTGCTCGTCAATCTGGCCGCCTACTCGTCGGATCTGCTCGCCACACCGAGCTTGAGAGGTAGAGAGGTGAGAGGGCGCGTCGGATCCGCCGGAGGGAGAGAGGAGGGAGCGCCAGATGGCCTCATAGGGTCGCCGCGCCGCCGGAGGGAGAGAGGAGAGGAGGAGTGCTCACGGCCTCTGGCCGCCGCCCGCTGGGAGGGGAGAGAGGGGCCGTGGGAGGAGCCAGCGCGCCGCCACCGCCATGATGTTGCCCCCGCTTCGCCATGCACTGTCGTCATTGCCGCCAGCCGGCCATGACCGACCGCCGCTCCATCCCGCTCGCTTGCTCGGCCGCCTGAGAGGAGGGGAAGGTTGGGGCGCCGCTGCCTGTCGTGGCCGAGTGAGGAAGAGCGGCGCAGTCGCCGGTGAGGGAGGGAGTGGGAGGGAACGGGCTGCAGTCACCGAGTAAGGGAGAGAGTGAAGAAGAGCGTCACTGCCTGCGAGACGCATGAGGGAGAGCGCGGCGCCGAGGGACGGGTGGGGAGAGCGGCGCCTGGGAGGGGTTAGGTTAGGGTTTTCATCTCGTTATATATACTCGGCGTGGGATATTGGGTTGAAAACAATAGCGGGATGGGACAGAACTTTGGAGGCGGGCCTTATAGACGACCGCTTCGGTTAATCGATTAACCGAGGCGGTTCTGTTACAATGCCCGCCTCGGCTAATGATTAATTGAGGCGGTTGCTGGCCCGGCTGCCCTGCCTCAAATAATCAAGGCAGGCAACCAGGCCGCCCGCCTCGGAGCCCTATTTGAAAACGCTACGTAAAAGTTTTTGTGTAGTAGTGTGTTCTTAACTTTGAAGGTGTTTAGCTTTTGAAACGGTCAGTGGTTTAAGGATAATATACCTCTCACATCCGAGATGTTCCGAGTTCACAAAATTGGGGACGACTTTCTCATCTTTGAACATTGTCTCCCTTCGTCTTGGCGAGACACATATAAGCAACGTTGGTGGCGAGCCGATGCTTCGAGCGGTGAGGACGGCATGGCCGTTGAAGAGGGGAGGAATCCTCCATCCAAACAGAAAATTAGGATAAACCTATCTCCTCAACTAAATACATATGTGGATTGGTCCCATTCAAAAAAAATCAGGGACCAGTCCGTCCCGTCTCACCTCATCCCAAAACCAAGCATATGCTAATAATTTATGTGGCAAAGCTATTGTATAGAAAATGAAAGGTAACAATGCAATGTTCTATGTTTTGTATAATTGCAAACAAAGCATAGCCTTAATCGCAGTCGTAAGTCGTAACTAACCCGTTTCACTCCCAGATCTGTAAACAAAACCTGTACTCCTACTTCCCTCGACGCGTTCACGGGAGTTTTTATGACGGGAGCAGAGCGCAGCGCAGTTGCTCCCTCCGGACCTGGAAGCAGCAAATGGCATTCACTCCACGCATGGGCAGGGCACGTCCTCACGGTCGGTGGGCTGCGAGCCGGCCAGTGTACGGCCAGTTCACGGCGAACGCGCCGAGCGCGCAGCGCGCACCGACTCGCTCGCCGCGGCTTGATCTGAGGGGACTGTAAATTCTGGTCGACTGCGCGCGCGGGCCGGAGGTGCTGACGGCCTCGCGCGTTCGCGGTGCACGCCACACGCCACGCCACGCCACGCTGCAGCTGTCTCGGGCTCTCGGCAGTCACCGGTCCACAGCGAGAGCGAGGCCAGAGAAACCTGCACCGCGCCGCGCTTGATGAATGCACAATGCAGGGTGCACTGGTGCAGCCATCCAGTAGCCGCCGGCGCCGCCGTCTAGCGTCTATAGACCGATTCATCCCATTGCAGACTGGACAGTTTGACTCTTCCGGTCAACCAGCGATCCTGCCTCGCGGGCGGCGCCCTCCCCAGTCCGGCAGTCACCAACCAACTGTGTGCTGCCGCTAGCGAGCTCCGGTCCAAGCACGTACGGTCCAAAGTCCGAACCCCTCTTTGACGACGATGCTCGTTCCATGCAAATAAACTAGAGGAGTGAGGCATGCCATTATACTATTAACGAATGCTTTGCTTCTCTCTTTGACGCCCAGCGGCCCACAGGTCGATCGTCAGCACCAATCCGCGATCAAACGATTCAACGGGGCCGGCGAACGGCTGGCCTAGCTGGGCCCGTACCTCAATCATACTACTACCACTATATACTATGCGTGCTTCATCTTTTCCGGCGGAGTGGGGGTCCTGTTTCACATTTCGGGAACCGGACGATGAATTGATGAGACCAAGAGAATTCTCTAGTCGCGGGATGGGCCAAGCAATGCAAGCTAGCCAACTAGTCTAGCTAGTGTCTAGGGTTCTATATGCTCGCTGGATCGAGCTCGGCCTGCGAAAGCGACGGGACGCATAAGAATCCCCCGATGGAGTTCGTGGCGCGGGTTTCATCCATTTCTTCCGCCACTAAACCAAGGTCTGGTTGGCCGGGCCGGCGACCCGGCGCACATCACACGGCAGTGCAAATGGGACAGTTAATCGGGGGGATTATGACTGATGCGCTGCACTCCAAGCCAAGTTACCTCGGGTTAATTAACTAGAACTGATGCCCGATGGGTGGAGTGGCCTGAATTTCACTATCTCCTTTGCTCCGGCCTGCCTGCCTTGGTGCCTTGCTAATACCACTATGTAGCGGTGGCGGCAGTACTTATTCTGACTGACACTGAAATCATTTGATGCGCGAGTAAGCGTAAAGTCTAGACGGTAATAGTAACTTTCCTTTGACAAAATTGACGGTGGCACACTGGCACTACAGGGCTTGTGTTGTTGTGCGGGCGCGCCCCGTGAGTCCCGCGAGAGACAGTGAAACGCGCTGTCCCGGTCGCGACGACAGCCTGTTTGCCATCTGCGTAGGAGTGAACATGCCGCAAACCTCTTGAATTTTCAGCCTGTTCGCTCGTAGGTTTCGGTCAGACCTTATCAGTCATGATACAGTGTTTTCTCTCACAACAAACCAGCACCTGCCGGGCTTATCAGCCTAGAAACCAACCAACGAACATGCTGTTTGTGGTGAATTGGCCACTGAGCAAGGTATTAGTTTGCTTGGAGCATGTTTTCTTTCCATCCTCCATGGCCTGTTTTCCACGGACGGATTTTTCTTGTTCAGAAGGAAGTGGCCGAGAATACATCGTGTTCAAAGAAAGGCATGGTCCCTGGTTCCCCGTGCCGCCATGTCTGACGGTTTGTGGAGACGTTGCTGTCTCTCCGCATCACAGGCTGATGTGCTAGTAGCACATCGTCAAGGTAAAACTGTAGTAGGGCCGTCAGAATCGCAATGTGAAATGTCCGAAGAAAATGGCCGGAGAATTCGCTTCAATCAACTCCAACCGCTGCTGTCCTGACATCACCATTGTTTTTTCCGCTGATTTTATATACAAACAAAAAGGACATGCAGGCAGGT